ACGCCAACGTCGTCAACGTCATTGTCATAATTATCGGCATCTTTATCATCATCATCATCAAAAAACAAAATCAACATTTTAATCATCATCAACAAAAACAACAACAACAACAACATCATCAACAACAGCATCATCATTATCATCATCATCATCATTATCATCATCATCATCATCATCATCATCATTATTATTATTATTATTATCATCATCATCATCATCATCATCATTATCGTCATCAACAACAACAACATCATCATCATCATTATCATCATCAACAACAACAACATCACCATCATTATCATCATCATCAACAACAACATTATCATCATTATCAACAACATCATCACCATCAGCCTATCCCACCACTATTACAGTTAAGACATGCTTTAGTATAAATATTTATTTATGCTTGGTTATAAAATACTCTTTAAACTTTTCTATTTATCAAGTTCGAGTCAGTATTCTTATACAAACCAGTACTGGTATTATATAAAGAAGCAATAGTCTTGATCTGCTTGGGTAGAGCTCGAACCCAGGGTTTAAAGGTCGACATCCTATCCACTAGGTCACCTCTTCCCTTTAGACATTGGTTTTCTTTTATGTGCAATGTTCTGTATATCCATGGTTATAAATAAATGACATATTAGTAATATTCTATAAAACAACAACAACAACAACCAAAACTTTTATACCAATTGTCTCTTTTAAAACTCTTTTAATCAGCATATACATGTATATAACATGCGATACACACAGTGCGGTTTACGCTCATAACAGTCAACAAAGAAAAATATTTACAATTTTATGCTTCGAAATAATGCAAGTCAAAATTCACTAACGTCGGCTGTAAACAATCCGAAAAAAAAATAGTTTAGCATTTTGAATGGCATGTAAAATGCATCGGAATGATATACGAGTACATGTATTTACAATTTTCGACTAAGAATGGTAGCTACACGAAATGCATCTTTCTTCTGCTGTACAACATTGGCCACATCAAGTCCTTGGTGTTAGTCGTCTGCACAAAGAATGAACAAATAATACGTAAAAGAAAATGTTATGCAAATAATCCAATGTAAACAAATATTAAACGTTCGACGCATGTCCCTGAAAAATATTGGAAGCTACGTTAAAGACAAACAAGTGTCAGTCTAATTTCACATCATCTCACGGTCAGAGTCAAGCTCTTTTTTAAACTTCACATGCTCACGTGATGCCGGTAAATGCTGTGCACATGCTCATGTAATCAAAAAAACGTACTCACATGACGACTTGCATGTTCTCATGATGAAATTATATGCTCACGTTATAAGTGTTTTGCACATGGCTTAGTGATAAACATGTATCCATGTGACGACCCACATTCTTATGATAAAATTCATTACACATGTGATGACTTGCATGCTCTCGTGACAAATTTATAAGCTAACGTGAATATTCGGAACACCACGCCATAATTCATTGTCCTTATCCGAAAACTGACGGAAAAGTCCGAAAAGTTGCGATTGTGTTCCACGCTATCACGTGACAACTGATACCATATGCGGTCACGTGATAATCGTAATGCACGATATGTACATGTATTTCACTTATACATATATGAGATATATGGGGAATGATGTGATCAAGGAGTTTCGGTGTCGAACATAGAAACGTCAAAGCCGAAACCTTCTATCAATGTCTCGAGAATAAACTTGATGGTCTTTTGGTAAATGTGCTCCATGTTCGCCGTGTACCTGTCTCCAAGCGTCTCTTTGACCGCTATCAGAAAAGGTTCTTCTATTTTCTGTAAAAAATCAAACAATTGATTTATGATTTAATGAAAATTAAGAGATCACATATGGTATCTATAATATAATACAAATAATGAAAAATTAAGGTTATAATATTTTGTTTTGTATGTTTGCTGTAACCATGGTTTCGTGGTTCGACTGAAACATTTGTTATACATATGATTATTATGAGGGGAACTTCAATTGTTTTGATTAAGATTTAAAGTTAGATTATTTTTTACGAGTTGTTATTTGTAAAATAAACATGTTTATTATATACTTATAAATGAAATATTGATGAAATAAAATGCATATTTTGCGTATCTTCACTGTAAAAATTTATTTTTCATTTCAGCGAATAATATTTTCCGTATTTTCACAGGTTTCCCTGCGGACTACTTTCTTCTAAATTCAGCCAACACACAAAATTTAAGGGGAAGTCTTTCACATTGTAATGAAGGAAAATGTATAGAATAAACAGAAATTTAAGCCGCTCGTGAAATATTTATTTTCATACCACTTGAAGAAAATAAATCTTGTATTTATAGAAAAAAAAACTTGAATATCCTCTATGCATGTATATGTACACACAGTAAACAATAAAGTAAATTTTCATTTTACTGGTGAATTTCATTGTGCGGAAACACTGAGTTACGTGCGTTTAGGTCAACAATTTCTTTCTTTCACCGCAATGTTACTAAACAACAACTTGTTAAAAACTGGGTCATTGTATTAATTAATTAATTTACTTTGTGAACAATACAAAAAACATCTATCTCTAGTTCTTGTTTCAGGAATCTGATTTATGTTCTTAAACCAGCACGTGTTATCTATTGTCATTATACAGATCTTTAGCACGTGATAAGCAGATTACGCATGCTAATTAAATTTCTTATCTTACAGTGATTTAAGCGTTGTATCTGATTGAGACATAAACAGGAATTTTAAACCTAAAAACGTCATGAACGTGTACGTGAAATAATAAAACACTATAAAAGATAATAATAATTCTTTTATCACCAGTCACGTGATTTCGGATACAACAGTATCATTCTTCAAACGGTGCTTATATACAATTCACATCGATTGAAGTGACCGGATTCTTTTCATCCTGAATATACGAGATCAAGAGAAAAAATGAGAATGAGAGAAAAGCGAGCGCTTAGGAGATAAGTCAATCAGATTATTCAGCAAGTAAGAAAATCAAAAGGATTTTTTTCTAATATCTATTGACATCACCAATCTTAGAAGAGACAGTGTCTCGGTGCAAAAAATCTCCTTTTTATGGCTTACCATATTACTAAGGCTTGCCTGGTAATAGTCTAAGCTTGTTATGAATGATTAACTATATGGCAAAACAACGATATTGAATGATACAATGTATAAAAAGTGTCATCTCTAATGGACGAATGGAGGAACGCGCAAGACAATGACATTTGGCATCGGAGAATTGTAGACAATTGTCTTAAAATTCAACTATGTGATAAATGTCTTTATTAACATTTAAACCCTTTGTAATGGGTAGCGATAAGAAGAAAAAAATAGGAAAATGTCTGAATAAAGGTAAATTATTGAAATAATAGTTAATGAATCGTACAGCTATAGTTAATTGCGGCCATTTAATTAACACTGACCTTCATTTTGAAAGTAGATGGGAGATACTATGAATATAATTATATAAAGTACAAAGAATTCCTTATAATTAAACGCTATTAAGAACAATCGGCTACTGAATGACACTGATGATGACTTTAATGAATTGGAAAAAAGCGCGTTAACCTTTAGTGCAATATATTGTAAGCTATGGAACGCCAAAAACTGCATTTGTTTTGAAGCTGATTTGCTTGTGACAGGACGGGTTAGTTGAAACCAATCCCATAGGGACAGTCCATCAATAACCTGGCATGCTCGTATTGATTTATCCAGAGTGTCATTGTATATATAATCTGTTCATAAGAAAAAAACATCAGCATATCAAACCATTTTGCTGAACATTACCTGACATAATGTTTGGTCATGCATACATAAGGTTTACTCCCAGTTAATTATATTTAATCAAGGCGATATCGGGTGAGTCAATGAGGCATTATGTCGAATTCGCATTAAGGTGACGTCAAAATGGCATAAGGTTATGTGTAGTTGGTATTCGATAGAGTCAATTTGACACACCTGAGAAAACTTGACACCGGTCAAATTGACATCATATTGAGTCAAATTGGCAACATATTGGGTAAAATTGGCATATCGTTTAGTTAAGATGGCATTATGTCGGGTCAAGTTATCATAAGAATTAAATCTGTCCTGTTTGGCATTTCGTTGAGTCAAATTTGCATTCTGTTGGGCTAAAAACAATTTTGTTGGATCAAATTGGCTTTTATTTGGTCATGTTATCATTAGGCTGAGTGTTCAGTTCATATAAGGTTGAGTCAAAGAGGTATTTTATTTAGCCAAGTTTGGCATTATGATATTTGGTCAAGTTTGTTTGAGTTTGTGTTCATTTTAAACATGTTGGGTCAAGTTGATTTTATGTTCAGTCAAATTGACATTAGAATGCGTCAGTTTGGTATTTTATGGAGTCAAGTGCATTTTAGTGACCGAAGATTTTGTTATTGAAACACAACAATAAAATACAATAAATTGACATAAAGGAAAATGAAAACACACATGAAAGATTTTGGCTTAATACAATGTCATCGTTACCCAATGCAATATTTGTAAGACCGAGCAAAATGCAATATTGACTAAACAAAATGCCTCTTTGGCCAATATTATATCATTTTGGCTTAATGCCAATATGATCGAACATAATGTCAAATTGGCTCAAGTTTATATCAAACTGACTAAACATAATGCCATCTTGGCCGACATTATTTTGCCAAAATGGCTTTATCAATTTCTAAGTAATCAACCATAAAAATCTCTTACAAAAAGCAGTTTTGGCGTTCCATATTTCATAGTCATCACATAAACTGTCTTTATAGAATAGCTTCAGCTAATCTGATAATGTTTATTTAACTTAATACATTTGTTTCCTTGGTACTTTCATGTCTGTCACAGATTCTTTAAGAAAAAATGTTTCTGTTTTCAATAGTTTAATGTGGAATATGACTTTAAAATTGCATACTGATATAGAAAAATACATAATGACTGTCTTGGAATTTTTTCTGAACTCGTTATTGATAATAACTTATGTGCAAAATTTCAGATCATTCGCTCACTCTGATTTTCTAAAAAAATTAATGTGGAAAATGACCCAAAAACTGAAAAGCGTTGCAAAGCTTTTAACTCAAATCGGGCTAAAATAGAACAAAATACGACTTTCAAGTATTTGGGGGCTAGTCTTCATCATCATTTGCACATTTTTCTGTTCTAAGTGTTCATGCTGACATTTGAAAGAAATTCCAATTATATTTTTTTAGGTGGAGTTCCTTTAATCTAATATCAGTGTTAATTTTTCAAAGAAGTATTGTCACTGGAACACAGGATCATTGTTGTATAGAATAGTCAAGACAATAAGTAAGAACTTACCTTTACTGAGCAGCGTACCTTTATGCAAATTATTCCAGAAAATATATATATTAAGTATATAAACTTACCCAGAAAATTGCAGGGTTAAATCCCCTACTTTGTAAACGTCTGTGACTGTTTCCAACAGCATGCAGCAATTTAACGACACCATCGACGTCATCTAGTGAAGATATCGCCTCGTCTAACGTGTACATCACTTGTTTCACGTGATTCTCCAGTTCTTTACTTTCCCGTAATTCCACGAAATCATATTTACCGCCATGCACGAGCTTCGTGAACATGGAGCGCACTTCTTCGTTAGTCTCAAATAATCTGCAAATTAAAACAAGTAAAAAAATCATTTTCTCTTTAGAATCTGCAAATAAGACAATCTTTGCTCTTTAAAACCTGCATGTGATTTTTTCAAATTTTAAAATGAGACATTTATTTCCTGCCATAATCTGTAAATGAGATTTTTTTTCTTTTCAATCTTTACATGAGACATTTTTCTCTCTATATATAATCTGATATTGAGGTTCTCTCTATACAATCTAATCCACTATTGATAAGACATTTTATCTTTTTTTCTAATCAAACGATTCTTACAATTTACATACATAAATCTTTATAAGTTAATATCTTCAAAGAATACAGTTATTATCGTGAATTTATACATTTATATTTTTTACAACCATCTGCAAATAAGGTATGATTTCTTTATTTTAACATTTGTTTATCTTTTCCCTAATTATCTGCAAATACGCTGAATTCATATCCCCTAAGCGAACGTGTCTTCACAGTTAAAATACAAATAACAGCAATCTTGGAATAACAATTTTCTCATAACAGATGAATTATTTGAATTTCTCCAGCTTTGTTTTGTCTGTAAACGAGAATTGGTCTCAACAAGAGATTTTGTCTCATGCAACAAAAACAGTCTACCAAACGTTTATACTCGTATATTAAACGTTATTCCCCCTCATTAAATTTTCTAGGACACCAGGTAAAAACCTAGACGTAAAGATTCAAATGTCATTATAAATATATAGTATTACAAACACTGCGTGTATTGCGAGTATCTTTTATCATGTTTATTACATACCGTGAATTTTACAAGTAGGCGTATATACTTAGATATTCAATTTAATAAAACGATAAATCAAAAACCTATGAAAGTTCCATATGTTGCTGCTAATAAAATAATAAGTTGTGAATCTCTGATAATGTTATACGGTGTTCTCATTGTGCCATCTATAATGTCATGTGTCATTTTTAGAGTACGACATGTTGTACTGCTCAAACCCGCAAGGGTAGTGTAGCATTTATTTCCACCAGGCTACTACTTATGAAGTACTAAAATGTATGGTGGCTGATTTGTACCATGTCGTATTTTCGATCCGCGGGGCGCCAGTTTAAAACAGGACAAAGTCAACATTTTGTCGTACTTTCGCTCCGCGTGGCGTAAAATACGACAAATTCAACATACTGAACGAAAGGAGAAAAGAAAAACATACAATAGATGGTTAATCTATTTTTATGTATTGTGACTGTTCTCTGTAAATGACTTGTCATGTACGTACTGCTGTTTTTATACAAATATTCACTGTTTATATACCTCATGTTTGTTTCATGTGTGATGTACCGAGAGAGAAAAAAAGAATTTGAAAAATTTAAACATTTATGGCACAAATCAGTCACCATAAAATGCGAGTATAGTCAAACCTGACTTCGTTACCGTTGTATTTTTCTTTATATAGTGCAACCTCTGCAGAGAAGCTCTCTGTACAGCAATAAACTCTTTACAATAACTAACAGTGCAATTTCTTCCCAAAGTACGACTTCACAAGAATCTTCACAACAATGTGTCTACTGTAGAGTAATAAGTCAAATGTCTCCAAAATATTGCCCTGCAGCACTGCAATTGCCCTGCAAAGGTTATTATTTTGTTGCCCAGCAAAGGTTAATATGTGGACGCCCTGCAAAGGTTATTATGACGTTACCCTACAAAGGTTAATTACTGGTTGCCCTGCAAAGGTTATTATTTTGTTGCCCAGCAAAGGTAAATATGAAGTTGCCCTGCAAAGGTTATTATGGCGTTGCCCTACAAAGGTTAATAACTGGTTGCCTTGCAAAATTTATTATTTCGTTGCCCTGCAAAGGTTATTTTTTGTTGCCCAGCAAAGGTTAATATGTAGTTGCCCTGCAAAGGTTATTATGTCGTTTCCCTACAAAGGTTATTATTCAGTTCCCTACAAAGGTTATTATTCGGTTGCCCTGCAAAAGTTATTATGTAGTTGCTCTGCAAAGGTTATTATGCAGTTGCTATGACATAAGAAAGTTCATATCAATGTGCATGTAATTCGTTGAATTAATCAGACGACATACATTTAAATGATGATATAAAGGACGCGCACGCGCTTTCTCTTTTTATCTATTGAGCTGGCAGAACTCAAAGGAATTTATTTGCATTTTAATGACATGGAATCTTGTCTAAATGCCTTAATCAGTAACATGTAACATGTAATTTTGAAACTGGAAAAAAATGACTTTACGAGCTGTTGAAAAAGGGAAATTAATTACTTCTTTTTTTTTCTATAATGGAGCTCCACTGAAGTCCAAAAGCCTAAAAACATGAAATTTGAAAAAAAAAATCATAGGCCTACATCAACCTATTTAGAAAAGAAAATAATAATATATAGAGCTCCTAAAACCAACAATTAGTTACAGTCTTGTGCCGATTTCAGATATAAGCGTATAAATCTTTTTTATTTTTATTTAATTTGGCACAATTAAAATGATAATTCTAGGGAAAAATCGGATAGAGTGAATGATCTAATATTTTGTACGCACGTTAATGGTACGGATAGCCCTACATTAGATATAAAAATCTTGAAAAAATATTTCAAGACATGTGATTTTCATAAAAGATCAGTGGAGTCCATTTCAATAAAAATAACATTAAGTAAATTGTAAATAATCTTGGCAACAAATGTAAATTTGAAGATGAAGAACTGCACGCACTGAGGTTATATTTTGAGTTGTATGTATAAGCAAATTAAATGCCCATTTAGTCCTAGAAATATTTTTATTTTGATTTCTCAGAAGCTTTTTACAATTAGTTTGTTGTCCTGTTATAATTTCCAAAAGGTTAGTCATTTTCCAATACCTTTTGCTTCTGTTGCATTTTAGCAATTAGTGTAAAGTTAAAGTGATTTGTTTTTTGTATTGATGTCAAAACACTACTTTCTTCAAATTGTGCTACTTTTATGACAAATAATTTCACATTCATTTGTATTTTCTTCAGGTGATAAGCTTCTCACGTGTTCCAATACAATTATTGAGACGCTTTAAAACACATATTTGCCATTTCTAATGAAGTAAAAAATTATTTGTATCTGGGGCATAATTTGCCTTTGAAGTATATACAGTTAATTCCAACGTTTTGTCTTGCAGAGAAAAAAAACTGTACCTGGTTTAAACGGTAAAACAGTTGTGATGGTACATATCATAAATGTGACAATCTAGTCTGAGACAGTAAAGCTCATGCTTTTCTATCTCAGTTTATGAGCGGCACGGCAAAGAAAGCTGTACAGATTAAAAATTAGTGTCTGGAGGCCATAGCGATTAGATATTTTGTACATATTGTTTTCTTTTAAGTCTCATGATCTTAAATCCTTTAACCTGACTTGTTTTAAAGATAGATTTTTTAATCTACATATATCTACTCTACAGATATTTTACTCTATAAGGAAAGGTTTTCAATGCTTACAATGTCTTGCAGACGGTAGCATTCAAAGGGAACGATTGTCGTATATGACAACATACGGTACAGCCTTTACAAAAAACATGTATGTCAAATGATAAAATGCCAATAAATGAGACATTTGATGAATTTATTTGTTGTTGTTTTTTAAATCAATGTAAAAAAAATATATATATTAGTATGGAACGCCATAGCTGTCTGATTTTGTAACACTTCTTTTTATCTTCCCTAGAAAGTCTCTTATGTCGACTTGTCAATACTTATGACAACAATTTGTCGAAACAATATCTTACAATGTCAAAACAGCCTTTAATTTTGTCAACATGTGTTTTTCAATGGTCAAAATTCTGTCTTATTATATCACAAGGAATTGTTATCTTATCAAATGTGTTGTTTAATTGTCTAAACACTGTCTAATTATGTCAAACGGTAGTGTTGCCTTGTTAAATTGTGGGGAAACACTATCTTATCATGTAACATGGAACTGTTATCTCTTTGAATGGTTTAAACAATGTCTAATTATGTCACACAGAAGTGTCATCTTGTTGATTGTGGTGTTAATTGTGAAACCAATGTCTTATTGTGCTAAAAAATTGTGTTATCTTGTTAAAACGTATTACTGACTTGTCTTAGCACTGTCTTATTATATATATAACGGAAGTGTTATCTTGTCGGAAAGTGGTATTGAATTCTCAAAACACTGTCTTATTTTGTCAAATGTTAGTGTGAACAAAATGTGGTGCTGGCTTGTCTAAACAGTCTTATTTTGTAAACAATAGTGGTATCTTGACATATTTTGAGAAATATACAGGATTGTTTGACATATTTTGACAAGACAACATTTCTGTTAAACATTGTAAGGCAGTGATTAGACAAGTTTATTTGATATGCTGACAATTAAGCACAAATGTCTGACATAATGAGAAATGAGACCAGATCAACTGAAATTTTAATCTTTTAGTTCATATGAACAGCCGGTGTCGTTCTTTTTTGTTTGGTAGTATGGCTCACCAATGCAATTAAGGTCAAGTGGCACCAAACGGGAAAGTTGACTTTGGCCTACCTCTGGAATTACAGAAACAGATAACTCAAAGTCTAACATATTGATACCTTAATTTCTTTTGTTATTTTTTTATATCCGTTTTCAGTTATCATAAAATGTCAAAATAATTCAGTCTGAAAGATACTTTGCTATGCGTCAGTGAGTAAACATACTGAAACAGTCTTTAGAAGGGACATAATTCTTTTCGCATATTATGTATGTTTATAATAAAACACTTTACCTGCTGGAGCTAACAGATGCATATGCACCAGTTATTCGAGCCCATTTATTGGCCTCTTACGATCACGCAGGGAAAAACGGTGGCTGCAATTCTGATTCACCCCTCAGTCCCAATGGGGGAGCAAGTATCTAAAAAGGACTAAGTGGAACAGCCAAAGATACTACAGACTACGTGTTCCAGACTCAATCAATTGGATCATGACAGGATCATGTTTGAAAATTAATCCTGTCCAACATTATTTCCAGCGACACATAAAAGACAATGAAATACATTCCAGAAATTACTGAATAATGACTTCCATTGATATGTACATATTCCTAATTGTGATCATCAAAGTTGTAGTTAAAAGTTGTTTTCAACTTTTTTGTTACCTTCTAAGAATTGTTTATAGGATGTGAAATGTGATCACAAGTAGATATCTATCTATTGGCTCATTGTCGAGGAATAAACAATTGATGAATTACCAGTTTTATCTCTAATGTGCATTGAAATAATTGAAACAAAATTATGAAAGAAGCATATGTATAAGTTCTAGTCAGCCGTGCTTGTCTTTATGGTTATGGCAGAACAAAAGTTAACATGACAAAAGATTGTTCATAAATGTTAGGAGAAAAATTGGTTAGCTTTAACTCAGCTGGGACAGGATTTGCTCGGTCCATGCTGGTTCTTACACTGGCTACGAGTCAAGACCCGGATATCTAGCTCCAGGGTAACTGTTTACGGCGGTTGCGAGGTTCTGCTAGATATTTCCGTCTTTGGCAACCATGGCAACAGCCGATGTTTTATTCTTTTTCTTGCAAATTAAATGTTAATCAAATTTCGGAAATTTTCAAAAAAATAAATAAATTATGTAACATATTTTTTCTCATAGTTGCGTATGAATTTACAACTTCATGCATAACACACCCACAACAAGTTCTATTCACCACCACACCCACCCACCTTCGGGAATAATTATTATTATATATATTCGACGATAATGTGTTTAATTAAAGTTCTCAACTAATATGACTATAATCATCAACTGTTCTCATAGTAACAGTTATCTATAGTTTTATGACTATGTTTAATGTTGTCACGCTAAACGTAAATTAATGGGTTTTTCAGGTGATGTAGAAAGGAGAAATAATGCCGCTTCACGGTATGCTCGTGAAGCTAGTTTCTTCATTTATATACAACACTTTCTTTATTAGAAAACAACATAACGAAAACAACCCAACCCTACATGTAACTGTTATTAAAGGCCCATTATGTCCCAGAAATCCATATTTATTTATTTAATTTTTATTTTTTGAAATGTCCAATATGTGTTGAAAAATGTAAAAATAATAGATGAAATGCTTTTCAATTGAGAAAAGTAGCGCTGAAAATATATTTGTTTTCAGAAACGTAGCAAAATGTAAGCAAAGAAGTGTTTTGAATTCAATAATGATACAAAATACTTATTTACTATAATTTTGAAAATCCCATTTATCCATCCTACTGTCACTACCATGTTGTTTGTTTGTTGTTGTTGTTGTATTTCAAGCTTTTATCAAAATTTAGCTTACATAACCACTTCTTGTTTTATTACATTGGACAAGATACTAAGGTTATTATAGACAATCATAAGAAAATCAATATTTACATACATTTAAAAAAGTCTTTAATTTTAAAGGAATTTTACTGAGGTCAAAATGTCTTCAACATTACATAATAATCGAAATTCTTACATAAATCCGTTCGAGGCAAATTCATTACTTTTATACTAAAGGTAAGTCATGCCACAGAAATTAATAAATGTTCAATTCTTAAGAAATGACAAGTATGGGTTTATTTAGCGCGTTGGTTTATGAGCATATTAAATGCGTGAAATTTTTTATCATGACAGTAGTAATATGTAAACAAAGTCATTGTTTGACTGACATACGAAATACCAAAAACACTATAACTGTAGTTACTGCAAAAAAGCAAACAAAGAAGAAAAATGTTTCCGATAATTGGCCAATGTGTAACATTTTGGAAACTGTAAAAGAACACCAAAAATATATATATATATATAAAAGAAATAAAAAATTAAATCATTTCTAGGGCATAATGAGCCTTTAACCCTTTGCCATCAGAGCTTAAGATGCAAAAGATAGCTTAGGTATACATCAAATGAGTAATATAATGAGCCGCGTCACGACAAAACCAACATAATGCGTTTGCGACCAGCATGGATCCAGTACAGCCTGCGCATCCGCGCAGTCTGATCAGGATCCATGCTGTTCGCTTACAAGCCCTATTACAAGTAGAGAAACTGATAGCGAACAGCATGGATCCTGATCAGACTGCTGGTTGCAAACCTATTATGTTGGTTTTGTCATGACACGGCTCGTATGTTTTTGAAAAGTCTTTGAGAAACAAAAATGACAGCATTTCTGATGCATAATGGGCCTTTAAAATATGATTTTTTAAATTGTTTTATTCATAACCATAAAAATTTCTGCAATAACTAAGCTATACCCGACGAAATGATATAACTAAATCCATGTACAAATGCATGTGTATTTTATCTATGTTGTTTGTTTAGTTCATGAATTTTTTCCTTAACTTTGGTTGATAATAAGTTTTCACATACTTGATTATCATATCTCATATTGTTGACATCATAACTCATATTGTTGACAGATATTGTCGGTACCAACTCTTACCTAGTTATAAAGATCAATATTATTTATACACTTTCTCATCGCAACTATTGAAGAAGTCTTATAATGATGCGTTAATGATAAGCCGGACGTTACTGTATGACAACAAGATGATATATAATAGGGTTAAAGGCCCATTATGCCCTAGAAATTATTTAATTTTTATTTCTTTTATTTGTTTGTGTGTTCTTTAACAGTTTCCAAAATGTTACACATTGGCCAATTATCGGAAACATTTTTCTTCTTCTGATGCTTTTTTGCAGTAACTACAGTTATAGTGTTTTTAGTATTTCGTATGTAAGTCAAACAACGACTTTGTTTACATTTTACTACTGTTATGATAAAAATTTCACGAATTTAATATGCTCTAAAACCAACGCGCTTTAAACCCATATTTGCCATTTCTTAAGAAGTGAACATTTATTCATTTCTGAGGCATGACTTACCTTTAGTATAAAAGTAATGAATTTGCCTCGAACGGATTTATGTAAGAATTTCGATTATTATGTAATGTTGAAGACATTTTGACCTCAGTAAAATTCCTTTAAAATTAAAGACTTTTTTAAATGTATGTAAATATTGATTTTCTTATGATTGTCTATAATAACCTTAGTATCTTGTCCAATGTAATAAAACAAGAAGTGGTTATGTAAGCTAAATTTTGATAAAAGCTTGAAATACAACAACAACAACAAACAAACAACATGGTAGTGACAGTAGGATGGATAAATGGGATTTTCAAAATTTATGAACAGTACGAAACAAATACAACACAAAAAAGTTATTAAAACTAGAAAGAAACAAAAAGATAAAAGATATATGTACCTCAAAAACATTAGAATCCCAGTATCCGACATATTTCTTGCAATTCCTTTCCACGATTTCATAATATTGAATTTCTGTCTCACAGTTAGTGGGATACGGGCGTCGAACTTGTCACCTTTCGTTACGATGGAGTTTTGCACGTTCACCGAACATTTCTTGCTAAGACTACCTGCCTTGGAAGCCCTGCCACGTGTACCTCCGTCCAGTACACTCACATTGCATCCCATTTTATGAAATGTTTGAAGTATATTTTGTTGTCAATACGCGCATATAATATTTGTATGTAAAAGGTCGCCGGTTTCTCTTGTTTTATTTTTTTAACACTTTATCATTTAATTCAGTACTTAATATTAAAATCATTTCCTCAAAGCATTTTTGAGTGTATAATGAATTAACAGTATATTTCTCGAACACGTGTATCGTTCAAAATCTCTTAAAATATTTTTTTTTCAAATTAAAATAATAATTATTACATTAAATTACATAGTAATCAAGTGTTACAATGTAAGTTCATGTATTCGCAAGTTACCAGAGAAATATTTAAATCCACTGCTATAGACTAATTTCATTCATTTTAATTCTCGCTAAGTGAATATTGCTTTATATCGTAGAAAATTCGGTTGCTATGGCAACCAGAGAAGTTTTATTGGACAATAGAAACAGGGAAAACGAGTGGCAAAGAATTACTTAAGTGAAACAAATAATAAGGTAAAACATGCCGAATACAATTATGACATTATCTCATAATAAGAGTCTTCGATAGGTCAATTTTCACAATATGTACGTTGTTAAAATCAGATTTATATTTCCCATACGTGATAAGATAAAAGATGAAAACAAAAACATGGCAAAACATGGAAAAAAAACATGGTTTTTACGACAATTTCCTAGAACATGTACATGCTTAGAAAATAATCATTGAAAAAAGTAAATATACAGACATGAAAAAAAAACAAAAACAACAACAACAATAAAACAAAACAAAACATGCAAAACTATTTCTAAAAGAATCGAGCCATGTGCTGCAGTTTGGAATGTTTAAATAAATTTTCTTCACATGCACTGTTGAACAAGACCTTTCATCGGAGCAGCGTGCTCGACTACTCGATGTGTTTGAAAGATCAATATCTCTAAAAAAGGGGGCATACTTTGTCAAAGTCCATCTCAGAAACTATGGAAAATGGAACGAATGTCATTTGAGCCGCGTCACGACAAAACCAACATAATGGGTTTGCAACCAGCATAGATCCAGACCAGCCTGCGCATCCGCGCAGTCTGATCAGGATCCATGCTGTTCGCTATCAGTTCCTCTACTTGTTATAGGGTTTGTAAGCGAACAGCATGGATCCTGATTAGACTGCGCGGAATCGCAGGTTGGTCTAGATCCATGCTGGTCTCAAACCCATTATGTTAGTCATGACGCGGCTCATTTATACATAAGCATTCTGAGTTTGAAAAAAAATAATATCTTAACGTAAGTGTTGAAAAGGTGAACATATGTGATATCATTGTGCATGAACTAACATAAATTTACAGTAGCATGTGCAATCTTTTTACAAAAAAAACCATGCATAAAATGTCATAAATTGGTATTTTCCCAATGACATGTAAACGAGTTTTACATGAAAGCATTTTCAAGACAACATGTTCCTTATGACGTCATTTTCGTGAGACGACAACGTCTGAATGTTATCTGACTAACAATGATTTAGTGTATTTCTACCAAAAAATCAAAACTTCATCTATAGATTATAATAAAAATAAAATCACCACATCTTTTTGATGCCTTTTTTGAACTCATAGCAAACCATATACAGTAGTTTAGATCTTTGAACATCACGTAGGCCTATTAAAAAGACCTGTTGTCGATACAGTCAAAAAAAAAAAAAAGAATTGTGTAAGAGAAAGAACAGAAATACTGTACCAAGTCTCATGTTTATTTTACTGAACTGTTATTACACACACCGTACAATCAAATGGGTAGACAACCGTTCACCCACGCGTCGACAGAAGTACTAGTGTATAAAAACATAATTGACGGAGGGCAAGTTTTGTCTTTTTCTAACATATCCCAACTGTGATCAGATAAATCAATGTTATGGATTCATAGTCAACATCTAAAGGAGCCGGCTAAGAAATTTCTGGCCCTGTGCAAGCTTTACTTTAAGTGAATGTTGATTGAGAATAGTCACACTTTCCGACGAGATCCGGCATTTCTTTTGAAAAGTTACAAAAACTTATGTTTCCTTATGATTATTAATCATTTTAAAATACGATTCGTAAACTTCAACATCTTGCCATTTAATATTCCAAACATTACCTTCAGAAATGCTTTTCTTTTAAAGATAAAGCGTATTTATGAATGTCTTCAAAACTTGAGTTACACCATCACATATTTGCCTCTATTTAGACTTGATAGATAGACATCAAATCATCAGCAAATATGAATAACGCTGAAAACCGTTCACCGAAACATTTTTAGGGCTTTTATGCTATAGTAACTAGGAAAGAGTAAAAGAATGTCTTCATTTAAAAAAATAGGTAAATCTATGGCACGTTCTGATGGACCTCATGCTTACGAAAACCAACTGCATTTCAATATTTTTTTAAATTGTCCGCCATATAAAATGTTTCCATTCAAGAACGGCTTTCAGCGTTATTCATTCTTGCTGATGAGTGGATGTCGACTTTATCATTAAATAGAGGCGAAAGGTAAATGTCGTTACTCAAACTTTTAAGACATTCAAACTAAAATACACTATACATCTTTAAGAGAAAGGCAGTTTTACTTTGTCTGTCTTTTCTATGATAATTGGAATATATTTTATTCTTCTTAATGTCTATTTCTATTTTCAATTTCTTTTTTATTTCATTTTTGTTTCTCTCTTTATAAGAAACCAACTACATGTCAAGTGATTTTATTTTTAACTTTATTTAACATTTTAACAATCAAACTATTTTAAACACACTACGATTGCGAAATATTAAAAATTGAATATATGGATCAATATATATCACACTTCATTTCATTGTATTTTTTACATTTCTGATAATGCTTTTTCCTGATGTATGTCGTTGTCACCAAACTTAACACAACTCAATATCAAACAGTGTACAAAAATATTCTATCTCGCATTTGTAACTATTTTAAACAATACTGGTCAAATAAGAAAAAGATACAGTCAAATGTAATGGTATCTAACCATAATACAAGCATCTTAATGCATGAAACAACACTGACACGGACGCTCTGCCTGCTGCGCTATCAAGGCACATGAAAATAAGACGTTTTACTTTGTGTTTATTATGCTCCCTGAAGGGTCAAAAAGAGGAGCATGTACTAGTAGTCGCCGCTTTGTCCGTACTTCCGTCCGCTTTTCTTGTCTGAAACAACAATAGGTATCAACATGAAACTTTGTAGGTAGATAGATTTTTTTGAGTAGGTGTGTAGTGCATAAAGAACCTTAACTCTGCCTTGCCTAATTTTGAATTATTGCCCTTTGTTTATTTTTACACTTTGAACTTTGTCCAGGACATAACTCTAAAACTATAAGAGGTACAAACATGAATCTTTGTAGGTAGATAGATTTCATTGAGTAGGTGTGCAGTGCACAAGAACCGTTAATCTGCCTTGCCTCATACTTGAATTATTGCCCTTTTTATTTTTACACTTTGAACTTTGTCCGGGACTTAACTCTAATACTACAAGAGGTATCAACATGAAACTTTGTAGGTAGATAGATCTCATTGAGTAGGTTTGCAAAGCATAAGAACCGTAAGTCTGCCTTGCCTAATACTTGAATTATTGCCCGTTGTTTATTTTTGCACTTTGAACTTTGTCCGGGACATAACTCTAAAACTATAAGATTTATCAACATAAAACTTTTGCAGATAAATATATCTCATTGAGTAGGTTTGCTAGTAGTTACTCTGCCATGCCTAATTTTGGAGTTATTGCCCTTTGTTCATTTTGACACTTTGAACTTTGTCCGGGACATTACTCTTAAAATTATAAGAGATATCAACATGAAACTTTGTAGGTAGATAGATCTCATTGAGTAGGTGTGCAGTGCACAAGAACCGTAACTCTGCCTTACCTAATACTTGAATTATTGCCCTTTGTTTATTTTTGCAATTTGAACTTTGTCCGAGACATAACTCTGAAACTATAAGAGATATCATCACGAAACTTTATAGATAGATACATGTAGAACTCATTGAATAGAAGTGCAGTGCAAAAAACAAAAACAAAAAAAACATAACTCTGCCTTGCCTAATTTTGGAGTTTTTGCCCTTCGTTAATTTTTTTATACTTTCCTGTGTCCAAAACCTTCTCGGGGAACATCACCCAGTTAAACTGGTTCTTGTTTTTTAGGCTTCAGTCTGTCTAACCTAGCCAAGGCTGTGAAAATGCCCAAGATTAATATTGAAATATCTCCAATATTTGATGCATATAAAACGTTTTTGAAACATTCATGTTTTGCACAATTAAAACAATCTGTAATATACATAGAATGAAGAAAACTTTAAAATCAAAATTTTCCAAGAAGTTATATAATTATGCTCCTTTTAAGCGAACTGAAAAAGACGTTTAGTGATAAACCGCTTGGTTTGCGTTAATATTGTTGTATATAAAATAATTCAAGACATATGTGTGCAAATTAGCCTCCTAATCGATAGCAATAAGGCAATGACATACTTTTGAAGTCTGCTCTTTAATTAAAGGGCGGACAACTCTTTGTCCCTTTCTTGTAAGAGGAGGAGACTCCTGTGATGCGTGTATTTGGTCGCACGGTCACTTTTCTTACATTATGTTCTCGATGCATGTATGTGGTCCCATGGTCGAACATATCTAACTAATGACAACGTCTTCAAAGGTGTTTTTGTGTGCAAAATCTGTATGTTCTTCGTAAGGAGTCTCAAAAGTCCAATAAGGATTTTTTCCGCTTTTAATTTAATAGGTATAAAAGCCTCATAAGGATATTGATTTTCCTAAATAGGAGAGATCGAAAAAAACTTATTACAATTTGATAATACCAATTACAACTAAATTTAATCTTAAACTTAATAACAACTTTGTAATTCTAAATTAAAATATTTCAAATCCTAATTAGGAGAAATAAAACATTATTAGGAGTTGAGAAATAAAACCTCACTTAGAAGGAGCTTCAAAGGGCTAAATATAAAATAAAAACCTAATTTGAATTTTGTTACTTCTAAGAACGGTTCTGTACAAAGAACAAATAAGAATTTTATTACTCCCAATAAATTTAGAAACTTCTAACATGCAAAGGCTTTTTTTTTCAATGTTATCAGGGGAGGTCACTTTTACCGACTCTATTTTGAGCGCAACAGTAACCTCCCTTTGAACCCTTACCCCATTTGCAATGTTTTTAGGGGATGTCACTCTATCGACTCTATTTTGAGCGCAACAGTAGCCTCCCTTTAAACCCTTACACCATTTGCACTATTATAATGGGGATATCACTTTTACCTACTCGATATTTAGCGCAACAGTAACCTCCCTTTTGAACTCTTTACCC